ATTTAGTAATAAATTTGATATAATAAGATTGACATGATTATAGGTTGATAAGATTTAGCAATTAAACTAATCAAAATAATTATTTACTAAACATAAAACAATGAAATAGAATAAAAAAATAATAGATAAATAAGTTAACTACTTAGAGTTTATAAAGAATAATAGAAATAATTTAACAAAAAGATAATTGAATATATATATATATTAAGATTTAAAAAAGAGAGAGAACGAAAATATAAATTAATTAAGAATAAAATAACAGATGAACTAATTTTATTCGAAAATATGATAAATGAAGATAAGAAAAAAATCAAAAATAGATAATAAGAGATTAGAAAAAATATTTTATTAAATATATCCTTTTTATAATAGAGTAGAATCATTTGTTCTAAAGACTTTATTAATTTAGGAATTGGTGTTAAAAGACTTCAAGTGATTATGGAACGATTTCATTTACTTTAAACAAATATTTAACAAAGTTGTTTCCTATATTGAAACATTTTATTTTTTTTTAATAAAAGTGAGGAATAATTAATGATGAGAAAATAATTAAATATTAATATGGTATCAGTAGATGATCAAGATATTTACAAGAAAAAAGAGATATACCTAAAAATAAAGAAAATAAACAATAAGATGGATATTCATATGGGACTACAATACCACCAAAAGTTAAATCAATTGGGGAAAGATATTTTTATAAACATAGCGAATTACAGACATTACTATTCCAATACATTCAGTGAATTATGAAATAGTTTTTTGAAGGGGTGGTTATGAAGAATACATGAAGAATATTAACAATTAAAAAATAAGAGAAGATGACCAATAACAAAAGTTAATTGATTATCGAGTACAAACAAATTTAAATTCTATTCTTTTTAAAATAATAAAGTAGTAAAATAAGAGGAAAAATAACAGTTTTATAAAATCCTTATTTTCAAGTATAAAACTATACATATAGATATATTAATAATAACTATAATTAGAATTTTACAATTGATTTTAAAAATATTCAGAATAGTTATCTTGTAAATATAATTTGTTAGTTCGATTTATTATTTATTTCTGTTTTAATAAACTACAGCTCAATAATCTAATACAATAATATGAATTATTGTATAATATTAAATCTCATTTTTTTTAAAAATAATGTTCACAAAGTATAAAATAGAATTTCATTCATTAATTATAAACACCTTATTGATGTTTAATTTATTAATATATTTATGATTATTTGAGAGGCATTCTTTAGTCATTCACTTTCTTCTTAACATGACTATTTTTCAATTCAAACAACACAAATTATATTATCATTATTATTGAATAATTTATTTGTGTATTATAAAGAAAAACAAACGAGAAATATATATTTAAGAGATACAGAAGAATAAATAGTAATGAGAGGTATATAAGAATGGTAAAAGAAATACATGAAAAAGTGAATAAAAGGAGAAAATAGAAAAGAAAAAAAATGAATAAAAGAATATGAGTGAATAAACTCATAATAAAGATAACGCCAATAAGAAACATAGACTAATAACAAATAATGAAGGGAAAATAAGGAATAAAATGAATATAAAAATATAAGAAATACATAAATGATGTTAGAAATGATGACATCAAACAAGAAGTATATTCAATATAAAATGAAAATGGAGAAAGTTAAATATGAAATTAAAACAAATCAAAAGAAATGAAGAAAGAAATAAAAACAATAATCAAAACAAAGAAAGGAATAAAGAATTTAAAATACAAGAATAATAAACAATAAATAAGAAAGAAAATAACACAAGAAAGAAATAAAATAATAAAAATGAAGTGAATGAATTAAAAGTAATTGGATAAAAAAAGATAAATAAGAAAATAAAAAATGAAAAATATAAAATAAAATAAAAAAATAAACTAATTATAGATAAATAACAATATTATTATTTTTTATTATTTTATTATTAATTTTATTATATTTTATTGTTATTTAAAACAATAAAAATGAAATAACATTTATTAAAATAATAAAATGATTTGTTATAAATGTGTATTTAGTTATTTAATCATCTTATTATTTTAATCTGATATTAATTAAATTAAAATGGAATCAGTGATGAATAACCATTTAATTAAAGAAGTAATAGAAACACTTCCAAATATTTATCAATCAATTGATGATACTACTAAACATTATCATTATTATTTAGGAAGTATTAAAAATGAAATATTTGAGAAACAAGATAATGAAACATATGAACAAGCAATTAAAAGAGGAGAAGGAATATTTGATAGAATGGATGAAGTAGTTAGAAGAAGAAGAATAGTAATAGAAAAAGGACAAGAAACAATTAATCAAATAGAAATAATTAAAAATAAAATGAACAAAATAATAGAAGAATGTGATGACGATGAAGAATTAGTTAATAAAGCTAAGAATGAAATAATAGATAAAATCATTCATATGGAAGAAATGGATATGGAAGACAAAATTAAAAAATTAGAAGAAGAAATCAATAAAATTAAAACAAGATTTAACAAAAAGAAAGAAGAATGGGAAACACATTATAGTGATTATTTAGAGAGGAAGAAGATAAAAGAAGAAGAAGAAGAAGAGAAATTAAAAAGTATGAAAGAAATGATCACAATTGAAGAAATTAAACAACTAGAAGAATGGACAGAAAGAAAAGTATCCAATATAATATTTGATTCAGATATTGATAATTGGAATCAGAACACATCAGTATTTAAAGAGAGAATAATAAATAAAGAACATATAATAATTATTATTGAAGATACAGATGGAAATAAATTTGGAGGATATGTTGATGAAAAAATTGATAAAGTTGATTGGATAAATGATCCAAAATCATTTTTATTTTCATTAAAATCAAAAGGAAGAATAAAAGAAATGATGAAATTTGATATTAATGATCCACAAGATGCATTTTGTTTATCTGATCAACCACATGATTGTTTGTTTGCATTTGGACAATATAAACATGATATCGTTATTGGTAAAGAAAATAGTAAAACAATATCATATTGTAATCAACATTCATTTGAATATAAAGGAATAACAAATGCACTTTGTGGAAAACAACTTCCAGAATATTTCACACCAAACGAATTATTGTAATTGAAATGAAATGACTTTTATTCATTATTATTTATTTGAAATATAAAAACTAAAAAAGAATATAAAATAAAATCAATAAATAAATATGAACATTTCATCTATCAATAAATGAAATGATGAATATAAAAATGGACATATTTCATTCTTCTTTTATTTTATTTGAAATAATCATATTCATTGTGTTAATTTAATAAATAATAAAAAGAAATAAGAATAAAAGATAAATAAAAATATAATAAAATATTTATTTTATTCTTTTTTATTTATTTTTTATTTTATTTATATTATGTTTATAATTGATTGAATATGTTAATATATCAAAAATAAGAATAAATAACAATAGTATAAATAAAATAAGATAAATCAATTTATTATTTTATATTTCTTTATTCTATTCTTATTTCTTTATATCCTCTTTTCTAAAACATAATGATATAATGAAAATCATATAAAAATAATTTCATAACAAGAAATTGATTTAAAAGTCTTAACAATGATATAATAGTTATAGTCAATTATCAATGAAATAACAACATAACATCTTATTAATAATTATAAATAATACATTACTAAATAAATGTAATTACTATGACCATAAATACAATAACTCAAATATAATATTTAATCATTACCATTATGAGAATAAACAAGATAAATGAAGAAGATATAAAAATAAAATATAGTTTCATAAAAAGATATTGATTAAAAAAGAAAAGAATACAAGAAAGAAAATCAAGAAATAATGGAATTGAAGAAATAGAAAAATAATGAAAGAGAAATAAGATGAAAGAAGAGTCGATATAAGAAACATAAATATAAATAGAAGATGATAAGAAAGAAACAACATTAATAATAGTTATATTAGAAGAGCAACAACAAAAGAGTTAAAATATCAATAGATGAAATAGAATATCCCCCAATGAGAATGTATGGAAAGCACCTAGCGTTGATGGAATACAAGGATATTATTGGAAGTACTAACTAGGTACAGAGAAATCACTAGAAATATTCCAATCATGGTAGAGTACCAACAAAGTATCACTATGAAGATAGTAGTTGGAAAGACAACATTAATTTACAATTGTAGTGATTCTAAATCACCAGAAAACTATAAACAAATATGTTGTCTTAATGTAATAATGAAAGTATTCACATCAATCATTAAAAGTAAAATCATACACCAACTACAAATAAATGATGTTGAATACAAAATAGATAGAAGTCAAATATTGTGTAAAGAAATGTGATTAGCAGTAAAAGAATGCATCATTAAAAGTTATCTAAGAAGGCAAGAAATGGAATATGACAAAGAAAAGATTTAATGAGATATTCTATGATATAAAGAATACATATGGTTGTGTAAATCATCAATGGATAATATATTCATTAAAATATTTTAATATTAATAATACCATATCCCATTTAATTGAATGTATGTGTAACAGATGGTGTATTAAGATGGGATATACATACAATAATAATTTAGAGTATGTTAAATTAAAATGTGGGATATTACAAGGCGATTCCCTTTCTCCCTTTTTATTTATTGTCCGACAAAATATCATATTAGATGCATTAGGTAATATTTATATTAATTCAAATAAAGTAAATCACACTTTATATATTGATAATTTAAAAATTATGAATGATTCGAAGAAAGTAATTGAAGTATCCCATCAAAATATTATTGATGTAATTAAGTATTAAAAAGTGTGGAACAATTAGAAATGGAAATATACAATCAATAATAGTAAGATAGATTTTAAAAAAGATTAAAAATTTAAAAAAAAAGAAAAAAACTCCAAATTATTATTAATAATCATTTCAATGAATGAATTAAGTCAATCTCTTTGTTTGTATTACCGTTTGTTTTCAATGTTATTATTTTTTGGTTTTGTGATGAAAAAAATAATGTCGTTGTAGAAAAATTTTTTCCAAGTAAACTATTCTATCAATGGATTACTAGAGATGGAAAGTATAGCCAAACAAGAGAACTTGCTGCCTTTAAAACTGATTCATTTTTTAATAGATATTTACACTTTAATTCTTCATATGAATTATCAAATTACTTAATTCGTTATGTTCCTGAAAGAATTGAAATTGGACCAATATTTGATCATTTATTATTTAATAAGATTAACACAGCAAAGATGAGAGAGTTTGTAATTGACATTGATATAGATGATTATGATGACGTTCGGTATTGCTGTTCATCAACTCAAGTATGTGAAAAGTGCTGGGTATTAATGTCATGTGCTGCAAAAGTCATTCACCATATTTTTAAAGAACAATTTGGAATGAAACATATTCTTAATGTTTTTAGTGGAAGAAGAGGAATACATTTCTGGATTTGTGATGAACAAGCACTAAACTTCAATGAACAAATGAGAACATATATTACAAAATATTTTAATCTATTTACTAATCAATGCACTAATAAAGATAATCATCCAATAATTGATATTCATGAAGAATATCCTTTATACGACGAAGTTTATCAAATATTAGAACCATATTTTGAAGATTATTGTGAAAAACAAGAAATCTTCAAAACTGAACAAAGAAAAGAACAACTATTGAAGTTATTACCTCAAAATGAAATTAGCCAAGTTACTGGAAAATTAGACAATCTCAGTTGGATTATATTAAAAGAACATTTCGTTTGGAATTTTTATTCATAATAATATCTCTTTCATAAAACAACAAATAACAAGAATAGAAAAATAACAAATTGATATTAATAAGTATTGTTTTTACATATCTTTATCCTCGTATTGATATCAATGTTTCAGTTCAATTAAATCATCTCCTCAAAGCCCCATTCTGTATTCATCCATCAACAAATAAAGTGTGTGTCCCAATTAACTTTAATACGATTGATTCTTTTGATCCAAATAAAGTACCAACTCTTCAATCTCTTCAAGAATCAAAATTATCATCTTTTTATTCCTTTAATGATTCAATAGAGTTATTTTCAAGATTTGTAAAAGAATCAACTCAATAATAAAGTTGTTTTTGTTAATTCTTTCAACATAAAAAGATGAAAAAGAATGAATGAAATTATGTGATTTTTTTTAATGTAACTCTAATCCAATTAACTGTGATGTAATAAATGTGTCATTTCCAGCAAATACTGTGGAATTATTTAATCCTTGATAATAACGATTGGCATAAGCACAAATAATTGATTGTTTAGATGGGTCATTAATTTTAAATGCACAACTAACTTCATAGACTGGTTGATTGCCATTAAAAAAAGACCCAGAATCAATATTCTTAAATGTTTTTAGTCCATTTGAAAGTGCAAATATAAAAGCTTTTGAATCAATAACTACTTGGAAAGAAGAAAGTGATGGAATATTAGAATGATAAGCACCAAAGATATGGTTATCACTAGTAATGATAAGTGTAAGTATATTCTGTTTACCAATAACAGATGCATCAAAAGCATCTTTATTAAAGCCATTAATCTTTGAGTCATAAACTACATTAAACGTAGAGAATCCAGTAGCTTCTAATAATTCTTTTCTATAACTAAAAATGTCATTTTCTTTTAATAAGTGTTCTGTTGGGATAAGATTTAATTGAGTTGATGTCATTTAACAAAAGAAGAATGAAATCTCCTATTAATTTTAGTAGATTTAAATACAAGAAAAAGTTATTCTACAAATTCTGATAAATTCTAACTTCTTCTGATTATTCTTTATTATAATAATTCTTTCGTTATATATTCAATTGAAATTCATTTGTTATTCTAATTTTCAAATAAAAATGAATTAAATTTCATAAAAACATTCATTTAATTCAATACTTTCGTCAATGTTCATTCTTCTTATTCATTCTTCTCTTTATTCTTTTTGTTCCATTTTAAAATAAGAATTAGTAGTTACACTTTCTTTTTCTTCTTCACTTGGAAATAAACTTCCTTCTCCATAACCATATCCTCTTTGTGGGATATTCTTTATAACAGAATTAAATTGAGAAATAAAAGACCTAGAAACACCACGTTCAATACCAACACTTTCTTGAATAGAACTTAGTACATCATTATAATTCTCTATTTCATTATTTAATAAAATGTCGTACCCTCTTTCTTCAAATAGTCCATGTGCTTGGTCCATTTGTTGTCTATCAAAAGAAGTCCTTTGTGTATATAACGAATTTTTAGCAGAATAAATGAATGCTCTGTTTTGAATTAATGAGTAAATCATTGCTTGACCTTGTTCATTATGTAATTCTGTTGGTAAAGGAAAGAGTTTGATTGCCATAGAATATGGAAGACGAATAGGAATTGGTGATTTGTCTTTTGGTTGTGTCATATAAACAGTATATAGAATAAAGAGAATAATCAACTTCTGGTTAAGTTGTTTGCATGAATCAAATATCTCTAAACACGTTTCATAGAATGTATTAAAAATACTCTCAACTTTATCATTTGTTAATGACTCTAATAATAATTCTTTGTTCATACCTAATTCTTTCCATACTTCTTTAAATGACCAATAAGAAATATTTTCTAATGATTCATTCTATAATTTCAGTATGTGAATAAGTGAATTTACCATTTTAATAACAAACTGAAAATCTTTCTACTACTTTCATAATATCCATATATATAGCATTATGAGCAATTTCCATATATTCCCTTGTATAAAAATTATGAACTGTAACACCTGGCTGATCTTTTTTTTTCTTTGGTTGAGATTCAGTATCAATAGACCCATCTATTTCTTCCTCTTTGATACTTGTATAAAAATTTAAGTCTTTAGCAGGAGCTAAATCAACAAATGGTAATTGGTCTACATTAACACCATTTTCTTGACCTTTTTCATTACCCTTTTCATTATGATTGATATCTTGCATTTGAAAGGATTTAAGTTTTTAATTTTTTTTTCTTCTTTAAACTATAGTTATAATAATTTTTATTATAACTAATAATATAATGAAAATGATAATGATTAATAATAACATTCTTCATTTTGTATGAGACAAAAAGAAAAATAATGAAGGAAGTTATTTTGTTTATTGATTAACTTTAGCTTTTAAGAATTTTAGTTAATTAGTGTATATTCAAGTTTCTATTAGTTTTTGTTCACCCTCAAAAAATTATTTTTCAATTTATTTTTATTACAATAATTATTAAATAATATTTTTAGTATTTCAGTTGAAAAAAAGTAAAAGTTGATTTGTAGAAAAGCCCTTTTTTTGTATTGAACTTAAATTTTCACTTAATGATTGTTATTCTCTTCACTTTCTATTTTTCATGTTTTGGTAAAACTCTCATTTGTGGTGAGACAATAATTAGAGAAGATCAAAAGATTACTTATGTGAACTTTAAACAATATCAATATGATATTTGTATGACTGAAAATGGTCAACACTTAAAAGTAAATAAAAACAATGACATCTATGAAATGAAATATTATGATAATGATTGTACTGTTCAACAAGGAAATTCTATTGAATTAAGTAATTGTAGTGAGGTTGATCAATTACCTGATTATAATATTACAATAAGTTTATTCAGCCAAACCGAAGAATGTAATGAATTAGAAACAACAGTTAAACAATATATATTGTTAGATACATGTTATAACAAAACTAAGTACATAAGAGATGGTACTACTGTCAGTTGGAAGCGATATGTTGATGATGATTGTACTGTAAATAATCCAGTATTTATTTCTTATAAAATAAAGTGTAATACATGTAATAATAATAATCAATTTACGAATGGAAAAGCAATGGTAAAATGTATGTTACCTGAAAATGATTATATATGTGGTAAAAAGAGTATAAACAATGAGCGACAAATATTTACAACATTTACAACAGGTTTATGTGTTAGAAACGGAGAGTTGTCATCATACAAATACTACAATGAAATAGATAATGATGCTATTGTTATTAAATTGAATTCTTATAGTGATTCATCTGATTGTTCAACTACTCCAACTACAACTAAACCAAACATAGATGATTGTGAAATTGGGTCACTTAATGAATATGATGGTTATTTAATTACTCAAATGGAAAATGAATGTAGTGATGAACAATATGCAGAAAAATATTATTTTAAAACTGGTGTATGTTTAAATAAACAAAGATATGAAAACACAAAAGATGGGCTTAATGTTATTACATACAATGAAGACACCTGTGAAACTATCAATAAAAAAACCACTTTTAAATGTATGTCATGTGATGAAACTAATAAACAGGTTATTCACTGTGAAGAAGTTAAACAAATGTTTTGCTCACATAAAAATTCAAATGGCCAAGTAAATGAAGTAGAACCATTTTGGATCAACGCCTGTAATCCATCATCAAATGGGCTTTATGAGAAAGTTATTTTAAAAGATCAAAAATATAATGTGTATCGATACAGTTCAATGTATTGTAATGGAACAAAATTTCTTCTCACTAGTTTTAAAGAAGAGGAGTGTATTTCTTCTTATACTCCATTAAAAGATGTAACAAAAAAATATTGTCTTAACAACAATTGCGAAGAAGGAACAAAAGAAATTGATATTATAACTGATATTTGTGTAAATAAACAAAAATATTCAATAGGAAATAATAAAATTGTTTTAACTAGATATACAGACGAAGGTTGTACTATCATTTCTAACACAAACCAATACCCAAATGGAAATATCTCTCTTAATGGAATAGACTTAGTAATTTTCAGTTATACAAGAGGAAATAAAATATATTGTGGTAAAAGGAATAATGAAGGAAAAGCAGGATATACTATTATGTATTATTTAAATGAATGTATAAGAAGGGATAATAATACTTTTATAAAAATGGAACTAAATGATAAATATCAAATTACTCAATATAATGATAGTGGATGTACATTATATAATTCTAAAAAACAATTTGAGGTCTTTGAAACTAATGAATGTACAGATAAAATTGATAATATTATTGCTACAGAATATTCATTATTAAATAATCAATGTAACAGTATTACAAGTGAAGAAATTAAATTATATCATAGTGACATTTGTATTGATTCAATTAAGTATCAATGGGATAAAGGTAATTTAATTAGAGAGAAATATAATGATAATTTATGTGAAGGAAAGATTAAAGAAAGTATTGAATTAGAGTGTGATAAATGTCATATTAATAATTCATCACCTGACATTTCAAATAGTATAATTAATTGTACAACAGTTATACAAAATGATGAATTGGTTATTTGTGGAATAAGAAATAGAGATACTTCAGCTGTTTCATCTTTTTATCAATATAATTTAAATAAATGTTACAAAACATCTAAAAAGACATCAATAATGGTTTTTAAAGTATCTAATCAAAATCATTATACATTAAGAACATTTTCATCTTCAAATAATTGTAAAGGAGGAGAA